ACAATTCTTGGTTATTGTGGATATCATCAGTAACATAACATGATGAAAGCGATGTGAACATATAACTATCTCTAAATGAAAAACACTAGACATGTCAGGCTATGTTCTCTGTGTTTGAGAAGAGTTGTAACATCTCTCTTTCTGTAGTTCTGGTCTCTGTGTGGGAATGCTCTCACTCCAAAGCGGGGCATTTTTGGGAAGACAGGCGACCTGCAGACCATCCTGTGTGTAGCATCGGCTAAAGATGACATCACGTACTCTGGAGCACTTAACGGGGACATTTACGTCTGGAAGGGACTCAACCTGATACGGACAGTCCAGGCGGCCCACGGGGTGAGTCTCATAGCTGCTGATAAGTGCAATTAACATAAAGGGAGGGGGGGAAATATCTGACGGAGCACTCACAGATACTACCATTACTGGTATATTTATTTATATATATATATATATCTATATATATATACATACAGTACGTATATAAGAAGTGCTATTTCCAGTATAGGCCTACAACGCTCAGCTTCTCAGAAATGAGGTAAATGATCAGCTTTTCTCAGTAAAAAAGCCAGACTACAAAAACCTCTTTAAAACAATGAGACAATTTGCTGTTGGTATAAAAGTACCAAAAAGTAAATGTGTGATTTTCGTAACTATGTCTTTTTCAGTGTTATATCTGCATTCATGTAGATCTATGCGTAAATATGTTTGTACTTGTGCAGGCTGGCATCTTCAGCATGTATTCCTGTGAGGAGGGTTTTGCCACCGGAGGAAGAGATGGCTGTGTCCGACTTTGGGACGTCGACTTCAAACCGATCACCAAGATTGACCTGCGAGAGGCCGAACAAGGATACAAAGGTACGAAACAATGGACGACGAAATACAGGCAGAATATCGGAAAGACAAAAAAGATTAAACTTGTACTTTCGGGGGAAAGGAAACGAGAAGAGTCCATACTGCAGCTATTTTTAAGCACCTTCATGTGTAAAACAAGTAGGCCTAATGTTTGGATTATTTAAGAGATGACAATGCACATAATCAACATAAGGACACAGGTCAAATTTAATATGTATAGCAACTGACTGCCCTGGCGACTTTATGTAATATACTATTATTATCAATTAATTGAAAAATTACTATATCATATACTGTAAGTTAGTGTCCATCAATGATAGAGAAGTAAGCAATAGGGATAGCAAACTTCCCTGCTCTCTAAAATATATGTAGTGAAACTATGTTTAATGTTTTGACCTTTTGATCGATGCTTACAAATGTTATTACTGAATATTTGTATAATGCTTCATGCTGCACTGACAGTGCAGGACCATTTAATCACAGACAAAAGTCAAAGTGTTAAACACATGTTAACAGCATAAAGCTGTGTTGTTATTTTTAGGCACAATAATTCAAGGTAACTTAAATTTAAGGAAATGAAGTCTGGTGACATAAAGTGATGTTCCTTAAGGCAGTTTAACTAACTCATGAAACCTCTTCAGAAGTTCAGGCAGTGTTTGAAAGATGCAAACAGATACTAAAAGCTCCCTACTCCAGGGATCTTCTCTCTCGACTACATACATTAGATTTACAGACAAAGGTTTACATCTCCTTCACAAAAGATGGTTCCACACATAAAGTGTGTTTAACACACATCAGTCTTGGCTCCTTTTTACATTTCTGAAGAGAGGAGAACTTGAATTCTTCCCCCCTATACCAGACACTCAGGCTGTTTTCTAAATGCACTCTTGTAATTTCCTGTAAAATGCTCTTGAACATTTAAGGCAGTCTTTTGATGCTTTTAGTTGTACTCTCTTGTCTTTATTTGGATATAGAAGGATCAGATTTGCCCTCTTTTGCTTTTCTAAAAGTGTTTGATTCAAAGTTTTACAGCAACAAAGAGGGGGAAAGCAGGGGAATAAAAGTTTTAGCAGGAGAACAGAAATGACCTGATTTCAGGAGAACCCAGAGGTGACGAATGTTTGAATATTTGAGATGGAGGTGATGTATTTCTTTGGGAAAAGCAGCGGGGGAAGAACCATTAAGCCCCTGGCCTCCTTTTTTTAAATGTCTCCTCTCTGAAGTTGTTTAAGGAGAAAGTCAGGGAAGTCTAAAAGATAAAGGTAGGAGTTTTGTCATGTCTGTTCCCAGGCATATTTAGAAATGGCTTCCTTTTGGAGAAGTTAGAGGAGGTTGGAGGTCAACTCCATCACCTCTCTCAGAGAGCTTTAGAGAAAGTTCAGAAAGGGAAGAGATTCCTCTTTACCAACTGTGAAAGAAGAATGAATGAGTCAGAGGCTTTACTGGAAAACAAAGATATGCCTTTATTTGATCGTTACAAAGACTTCCTACTACATAAAGTGGAAGAAAGACAATGACTGAAGATGCTCCTTCTCCACTGACTTCAAATATTGATATGAGGATCAAATTCAAATTTTGAGAAAGATTCAGTTTTAGGGGGAAACATATAGAATTTCCCCTCACAAGATGTTAAATGATATCAAAATTCTGTAGCAGCTGTGGTTCAGTTGGTAGAGTCGGTCGTCTCTCAACTTGAAAGTCGGGGGATTGAGCCCCAGCTCCTGCAGCTACATGTCCAATATGTCCTTGGGCAAGACACTTAACCCCGAGCTACTTCCGCTGCTTCAGAGGCAGCGTACGAATATGTATGAATGGAATTACCTACTGCTGATGGTCACTTTACACAGCAGCCTCTGCCATCAGTGTGTGGATGGGTAGGTGTGACCTGCTGTGTAAAAGTGCAAGCGCATCCTAACGTTGGGCTGACGTCAGATAGATACAAGACAGATAAGATAAGAGTACGACAACTACAACAAAATTGTTTTTTATATTGTAGAGATTCCTTTGCATACCACCACAGGGAGCCCGGTGGTCTGCGTACCATAGTTTGAGAACCACTGGTCTATGTGAAAGCTTTCCGCAAAGTTTTTGTTCATGCATGGGAAGGCAGCTTCCCACAAAAGAAGAAGAAGAAGAAGAAAGCTCATAACAGAGTATTGTTATACAAAAGAAAATGTCAACATGAGAGCCTTGCTCAAATAAATTTCTCACATTTGTTCTCTGTGTGATTCATAAGAAGCTTGTTAAGTTTTCCTCTTTATTTCCCTATGGCTGCTGCTTCTGAAATCAAGTATCAGAAATCCTTCCTTCACCGCTGGAATGGTACAAAAACTCTTTCCCAATTACCTCAAAGTTTCCCTCATAACGCCTCATGGTATCAGGTTACTTTGACTTGTGAACCTTCAGGTAAGAGTTTCTAACAAAGTTACTGGAAACATCACACTCTGATTCATGCCGTCAGCGACAGCAGGCACTCTAATGGTGGGAGCTGCAGAGCTGAACGGCCCGTTAATTAGATTTTAGATGGTTGTGAACAAGAGTGTGACGGAGCAAGTGGAAGATACTGACAAAGGAGAAAAGTGTGTGTGTGCTGGTCTGTGTGTGTTTAACTTCTTCCTGTCTTGAAGTCAAAGGCTTTTATAAATGACCAAGAAAATGTGATATATATATAATGTGTGCTATCTAACATTATAGCTGGCTAAAAATTCTCTCTCTATCTCTGTGGCTCATTGTAAGCTGGTTAAAGACTTGTTTTTGTCCCAAACAAATATAGTTAGCATCTTTTTATGAGGAGGGTCTCTGTTTGTTTTACAACCTCCCCTCTGTAGCACACTGAAGTTTGATGCTCATTAACCAGAGTTAATACGATCTGAGCAGTCAATTCAGAAACACCTCCTTATCAGTAATTATTGACTCAACACCATGCTCAACACTCCATCTCTTTGTTTCTCCTGTTTCCTGCTGTTCTTTTTTGTTCATTTACATGCCAGACTATAATCTCCCAACAAGATTTCTCACTTTACCCTGCTCTCTATATTCACTCCCTCTCCCTGTTTTTATTGTCATTTCTTTCTCCCTCTTTCATTTGTCCATTATTTTCCTCGATCTGCTTTCTTCCACAAATACTTTTTTTTCTCTTTCTCTCTTTCCATTTACATCTGTTTTTTTATTTAACCTTTCTTCTCTTCCCCTGTCCCTCCTTAGTCTTCATGGTTGTATCACATTTTTATTGCTTCCTTCTTGCTTTTGTTTTAAACACCTCTTAATTACACTCATCATTGTTGCAGTTCCTCTGTTGATTCCAAAAATATTTAACATTTTATTTTTTTAACACCTGATTCAATCCTCCCCTGCCTCCTCTGTTAGGTCTGTCTATTCGCAGCGTCTGCTGGCGAGCTGACCGGATCCTGGCAGGAACGCAGGACAGCGAGATCTTTGAGGTGCGAAAGGAAACCCAGCCTCATGCTGTTACTCCCTGCAGAGAAGTCTTGAATAAAGGTTTTATTTTGGTTCAATGGCTTATCATTGGTCCACATAAAATAAACCTCACTGCCTTTTTGCTCTGCATGAAGCATTGAGCTTAAGAGGTGTTAAGGTTTTAACTTTTGTCAAAGCCAGGCTTACAGTTTCCCCCTTCTTTCTTTCTTAATGTTGAGAGAAGATAACCAAAAAGCACCAGATCTTATCATGAACTTTTTGACTGGTGCCATCAAACCTGTGGTTATTGGCATCACTCTGCTTTCTGATTTTAAATGAGGAATCTTTCAAATGTTTACTATAAAGTTCTGGCTCAGTTTAAAAAATGTGTCTCTGGCTGTCAGGTGATGGTGAGGGATCGAGACAAGCCGCTGCTCATCATGCAGGGACACAGCGAGGGAGAGCTCTGGGCGCTTGATGTTCACCCTAAAAAACCTCTGGCAGTCACCGGCAGTGATGATCGCTCCGTCAGGTTGGTGCCGGAACTTCCCGTCTGTGTTTTATGCACATTCACACATACTGGGAGCTACTCAAAACACTAAAAAGTTGGAAATAAAGGTTGGAAATACCCGATCCACTGGAGGGTTTACAGGTATATTTGTTTTTAGTGAGAGGTTTGTGCTCATCAGCAGCATCTGTTCAATGTTTTCTTTCAGTGCTGCAGGAGGTTCCTCAGAGACCAATTACATATTATATGATTATAATAACAAACACAGTCAGCTAAACACACGGAAACACAGATGGTCACAGAACAACAGAGCATGTAAGAAAAAAAGAGGATGCAGTTTAATGAGGAGCTCATGGAACTATATTTCTGCATTCCTTTAGTATCTGTACTACAGCGTACAGTGAGTACTTTTTTTCATGATAAAAAGTAAAATAATACTTATTATTATGTTGTTTGTCTCATTGTTGTCTTTATAGCATATCATAAAAGATTCTGGGGCCATATTCATCAAGGATCTCATCTCAAATCAATCCATATTTACTCATTTACCCATTAAATGGCAAAAATTATATATTTTTAATTATAATTTTTTTTTATTTAAACTACCAACTACTCTCAGACAAACCTTTAAAATTCAGAGAAGAAATCCATCTGATTTCATCACTGCAGGACAATTACAGTATGAGCTTCTGAGCATTGATTCAAGAGATTATTCTTAAACGTGTGTTTGTGTACATGACTTTAAAGGGTCATTCCCCTCCTCCATTACATGAATTTGATTTTTTTTTTTTTTTTTACTAAAACAGCCGAAAAGTTGGACAGTTTTGTTGCAAATTATCCATCAAGTCAGACGATGCTGCTCCCTGCTTATAAATTAGTTGAACATAAAGCTCATAAGTTTGAAAAAAGATATTGACATGTTACATCTTACAGTAACTGTGTGTGTGTGTGTGTGTGTGTGTGTGTGTGTGTGTGTGTGTGTGGGTGTGTGTGGGTGTGTGTCGGTGTGTGTGTGTGTGTGTGTGTGTGTGTGTGTGTGTGTGTGTGTGTGTGTGTGTGTGTGTGTGTCGGTGTGTGTGTGTGTGTGTGTGTGTGTGTCAGGTTGTGGAGTCTCATGGATCACGCGCTCATCGCTCGCTGTAACATGGAGGAGGCGGTGCGGAGCGTTGCGTTCAGCGTGGACGGATACCAGCTGGCTCTGGGCATGAAGGATGGATCCTTCACTGTGCTGAGAGTCAGGTATCAAACACAAACACACACACATACACACAAAATACAAACACAAACATAATACCACAGTGTACTGAGACAAACAAACATGAATGAAATTAGAATCTGTTATTGCTTTGCTGTAAGGTGGCATTAAAAGATTGTTTTTTCTCTGTCTGTCTCAGAGACATGACGGAGGTCGTGCACATCAAAGACAGGAAGGAGGTGATTCATGAGATGAAGTTCTCTCCAGACGGAGGGTACCTTGCTGTTGGCTCCAACGACGGGCTTGTTGACATCTATGCTGTCGCCCAGAGATTCAAGAAGGTAGGGAGCGAGGCACATTGACAGCATGGAAAACAAGAAGAACTCAAACTAAAACCAACTAAAAATAGTCAGTCACTAAATATAGAGGTCTTACAAATGAAAACATCGCTGCTGCAACTATAGAAATCTCCTTTGCTAATTTGAATGACTCACCACTTTGTTAAGATGTATCAACATAGTGTAAAGCATGTATTATATTGATCTGTCTGTTTGCAGGTGGGAGAATGCAGTAATTCCAGCAGTTTCATCACACACCTAGACTGGTCACTGGACAGCAAAGTCCTTCAAACCAACGATGGAGCCGGGGAGCGCCTCTTCTACCGAATGCCCAGTCAGTCTCTTCAGTCACTCATTTAGCCTGATCTTCCTTCGATTTTTCTACCAAACATATCTGCAAGCCTACTTAATGTTAAAGCCTAAAAAATGTGTCTGTTCCTCCTCTTAAATTTCAAACGTTTCTTATTCTAAATTGTTGAAATTTCCAGAGGAATTTGTGCACCCTTTGATAACACCCTCTGGAAATCAAATACAAATTCACAAATTATCTAGCATAGTTGAATAAAACATGTAAGGACACAAATTTGAAAAAGATTTTTACAATAAAGAACTGATTTGTTACACCAAAGAGCAACAATCTTTATCATTCTGTCCTTTCTTACGGTACAGGATGATACCTAAGAATGTCAAAGTGACAATGATGTACTTAAAGGTTCGAGTAATCAAGTTTAGAAAGGAAAATAACTCATCAGCAGCAGAGTAATTTAATATGCATAAAGTCTGATTACAGAAAAAAAATGCCAAAATGATTAATCTCTCCATATATTGATTTAAATACCCATAAAATAATCTCTGGGTCAAAAGGTTGTTGATCTCTTGAATAATTTTTCATAAATACAAAGTCCTTTTGACAGTTTTTATTTTATTTTATTTAGGATATCAAAATGACATCCATACAAGGATTTCATGAATTACTTTAAGTGAAGTAGTATATTGTTCAGTTCTGGTCTAAAAAAATATAAAAAATTAAAAAGGTGGTGGGATTGTAAGTTTCACTTTAACAGGTGAACCTGTAAAAATCCTCCCACTTAGATGCCAAGCCCACTGTGGGAGAGAGTGTATTTCCCCAAGATACACGTCTAGACAAGTGCACACACAGTGACACTCATGCATGTATTCATAGAGTGAACTTGTATATTTCCTTTGTACCTGTCAGAGAAAGTAGGACACACACACCCAACACAGTGATGTGGGGGGAAAAAAACGAGACTGAGGGAGGGGGGCAGAGGGGCTGACAGGGTTTTAAAATATCTCAAGATGGAGTGAGGAAGATGTTGCTGATGCAAAAGTTAAAGTCATGAAGGTTTCAGTGACACTTGTGGTAACTGTGGTAACGTCACATTCCTCTACTCTCATGGCAGAAGACAGGAGAAAGTTCTTGAGCAGCTACTTTTGTTGTTGTTTTAATAGAGAAGTCATGCAGTAACTTTAAAAAAAATAATGTATGTATTGCAATAAGCAACCTCAAACTGCATTCGTGCTGCACAGAATGTTGCCAGATTTCCACAAAGGGAAAGGATTTTGTTCTGTTGCTGGGGAGTTGAAGGTGTGAAGCCTGTCGCCTGCAGCTCTGCATCTAACAGCTCACTGTAGGTGCTGCTGACTCCTCCAGAACTCTCCGACACAAATCATCCACTGACAACATCGACTAAACGACCGATGTCCTCTTTTATTTATGTATTTTTGATTATCGATTGCTGTTGATAGCAGTGTATTGACCTCAGCAACAGACTTTTCTTCACTGTGGCTGCTTCTTAGTTAAAGCTAACCTTTATAATGCTCTGCCATTTGTTTGTATGAGCAGAAACAAAAGGTACAAGAGAAGTGCAAAATTGAATTAGTTCTGGATTGTTTCCTGTTCATCCCTTGTTTTTGTAAATGCAGCTTGTGTCCAGAGCAGGAAGGACTAACAATAAAAACGTTGAAATCACATTGCAAAACCAATGCAGACTATATAAAGCATGGACAATTGGGTTTGATATCATCTAATTGTTCATGACAGAAAGCATGAAAGCAAACTGAAAACAGACAAGCCTGCAGGAGGCTACATGTGCACTGCTGATGTCAGAGTTCTCCACACAAATAGAGAATCCAGCTCTGGGAGCTGATTCAGAAATGATTTCAGCTCGGAAGATTAGAATCTGCACCATCCACACATTTCCTTGTCTCCCCTCTTTCTGTGACAAATGATGTGCAGTGTGTGAATGGGCTGTTTTTTATCACTAACATCTACAGAGAGATAAGCTTGTGCATGCAAGTACACAAAGTATTAGCTACGGAAATGAAGGTTTTATTTATTATTTCACTCAGAGTTAACAGTTTACTTTGTCCTGCAGTGGGAAAGCCGGTTGTCAGTAAGGAGGAGGTTAAAGGTCTGTGCTGGGCATCCTGGAGTTGTGTCCTGGGTCCAGAGGTCAGCGGCATCTGGCCTAAATACTCCAATCTGACGGAGATCAATGCTGTGGATGCTAATCACGCTGCAGCCGTTCTTGTTACTGGAGACGACCTTGGCTTGGTCAAGCTCTACAGATTCCCCTGTCTGAAGAAAGGTATTTTTTTTGGTAGTCTTCTATACTTTGTTCTCTCTTTTTTTGTTGTTGTTGTTAAATTTGAGTCATCTGTTCGTCCACAAGGAGCCAAATTCAAGAAGTACATCGGCCACTCAGCCCATGTGACCAATGTCCGCTGGTCACATGACCTGCAGTGGGTGCTGACCACGGGTGGAGCTGACCACGCCCTTTTCCAGTGGAGGTTTCTACCAGAGTCGGTCATGAACGGAGGACCGGATGTCAACATACAAGGTAGAGTGCAGTCGAGGATATCTCATATCATCGTATGAAGAACGAGATAGAGCCTGCAAGTAAGAGTAGAGTTCAGAAAACACAAGTAGATGGAAACAATGCCTCTACAATTGGTAAAATGTTTCCTCAGAGGGCTCTGGAGGTCCTTGAGAGTCCTAGTGTTCAGTATCTGGGCTGTGAATCTGTGATTTTTCTTGAACTCCATTCAAGCTTTGTTTAAATAGATGAACATGTCCTCATGAGATTTGTAGATATCCCTAAAGTATGGTATCGGGCTTTTGATGCTTTCCCAGAGTTGTGCGGGTCACTCAAGTGGTTTTGACTTTCCTAGAAAGCATTGAGAAATCTTAATTTAAGTTCAAAGAGTACTGGAAATGGTTCCTGCTTAGTAGTTTTAGGCTTTCTTGGGGAATCTTTGTATGTTCATAATGTGGGGATATGATATTTGATAATATTTGGAAGTCCTTGTGAAAGAGTCAAGGCTTTTAAAGGCTTTTAAATCTAATTTAGGCTTTCAAGGTCTTTTCTAATCTTAATCTTAGATCTTAGATCTTCTGATCTTAGAGACGACTAAAACTCTGTAAGACTTTTTCAGGGTTTCTTGATACTTAAAGGCTCTCATCAAGGGATTAATGGTCTATATTATAAGCTTTAAAGGACAATTCAGCTTTGACAATTCAGAGGGTATAAGTAGATTAAGATGTTCTCAAAGAGACTCTAGAAGACCTTGTGAGATTTCCAAGTGTATATGGTCTAGTCAGTAGGATTTGTCCATCAAACTAGGTTCTAGTTTAAAGGACCCTGAATAGATTTCTTGAGTTGACTTTGGAGGTAATTGTGAGAGTTTCCTTGTTTGTTTTTCTGGTTCTAGTGGGTATGGATAGAGATCTTCATGTAATGTTTCCATTACTGGTGGAAAGCTTACCCGGGGCTTTAGGAGCATGCAAACATGCTCCATGTCTACTAGGGGAGTATTTGTGAGTCAGTATGAGAACTCCAACAATCCTGCAGGGTCCTGTTTGTCTTGAGTTGGGTGTAAAAACCCTTATGGGATGTTCATGTGTATGGGGTTATATTGAGAGGATTAAGGGTCCCCATTAAAGTATTTCAAAGGTCATGCAGATGGTTTCGAGTCCTCTTTAGAAAGTTTCTAAGGGCGCACCGCACTCACACTAGGCAATCCAGTTGGTTTGATGGAGTGAGTGCTCTGATCCATGATCAAACACAGTACACCTCCTTTGCCCTGGCATGACTTGAAGAGGTGTGCTCATGCACACGCACTGGGACACATGAAGTATAATCAATCCCTGCCTCCATTATCCAGAAATCCAGGTGAAATCCGAGTGTTATAGATGTAACCAACTAAAATGACTCAAAGTAAGCCACAAAGTCAGTCAATTTGATTGGTCACAAATGCTTTTCCTCTAAAGTATTGTTTTAGATAATTGGACTAAACAGAACATGTCTGTCTCTGTCCACTTTGTAGACAGCCATGGAGACTCCAACAGTGAGGAGTCGGACAGTGACGTCTCAGATGTCCCAGAGCTTGACTCGGACATTGAGCAGGAAACTCAGATCAACTACGAGAGACAGGTACAGTTCTGATGTCAATCTTTGGTGTTTCCATGGTGACCCTTATCCCCTGAGCAAGGCATTGAACACTTAGCTTCTATAAAGTGTTTAAATTATGCAGATCTGTGCCTGTAAGAATGTTTTTCCTGATGAGTGTTTTAATAGAGGCGCCACTGTCACAGCTCCTCATTCTTATTCCCATCAGCCACAGCCGCAGCAGGGTTCTGTGTGGTTGCCATGGAAATCATTAAAAACGCCTTATCTCCATTGCCAGCCGCTGCCTGGCAGACTTCCCTGTGACTTCCGTTTGCAGTTTGCCACCAGTTTCTGCAACAATGTGCTGTGTGGAGATAGAAGTCAGAGTGTGTGTTTGACAAACTAAATCAGAGCGGGCATGTGTGTTTATTTCATCAGAAGCTCTAAAGTTTAATTGGACACATGGATATAATAATGATATTTCCTTATGCTTGGTCTGTCTTTCTTATGTCTCTCTTTCCTTCTACTTTCTTACCATCATTCCTCCCTACTTTCTCTTCTTCTGTTTCCTCCTCCCCTCATTTTGTCCTTGCATTTCCCTTCTTCCCTAACTTCTCTCCTCCTTCACTGTGTGGATTTCTTTTTGAGCCATGCCATAAGATTCAATTTGACAGATACAGCAAAACTTTGAAAGCTCCTAGTAGGTGTAAAGTCTTCCACAGAATGCACTTGTCACTGTGTATCGTTTTAAAAGGGTTGAACTTGGAGGATGAAGAGGAGCAGCATGTTTTGCAGACTGTTTGATGTCGTCAGTGCGTTCTTCGAGATAGATTACATCCCTTGTAAATGTTGTTGTGTCCATGAGCGGAAATAATTTAATCTGTCCAAAAACAGAGTACTGTTAAATTACCTAATGTTGAAGATTTCAACGATCATTGTCAGTGTTGTTATTTTACACTAGCTATAGATTAAGGTTGTAGCTGTTGTTATCACCTATTCATGATGCTTTGTCATGTTTTACATATATTTCTGTAGCTGTTTCTAGATAAACGGCAGATAACAGAAGTTATTTTCAGCTGTTAGCCTGTTCAGAGACAAACACTACGTTAAAAAATGTTGTTCAGTGAGAGGCGGCAGCGGCTCAGTTGGTAGAGTTGTTACCTCTCTACCTGAAGTTCAAGGGTTCGATCCCCAGCTGGGTAACGTGTCCTTGGGCAAGGCACTTAACCTGCTTTGGTGGTAGGAATTGAAAATGACTTCAGACAGATCTTACACACAGCTGGATCAACAGGCCACTGGTCTCTTGTGGCACATACAGACATGTTTTAATGTCTAAAAGCTGAACTGCTGTTCAAAGTTCAAATGGTCATCTGTCACTGAGTTGATATTACATCCACTGGTTGTTTTGCCATAATGTCATAGCGTCATTCATGTTTACAGGACTATGTTTACCTTTGGTTCTTTTGTTAGGATGAACTGTAGATCTACAATCTACGTCATCTTGAAAAAGTTCTAAAAACAGGATTACCTTTGGACCTCTAGTTATTTGAAATCATTGCAAAAGTCTTCCAAGTTCTTAATCTCATGGGAATATGGCATGTTATGTGGCAATTTATAGTGTTCAAAGACCAACTCTAAAGAATCAAGCATATTTACCGCATGATGATATGTAATTGAGTAAAGTTTCAAACGGAGGAAGTGTTTAGTAAGACTAAATCTTGAGTCATTAATGTTTGCCTTAAAGTCACCCAGAATCATTTTCACACGACATTTCATAATTGCTCATGATTTGCTAAAAAAAAAGATGAGCAGACAAACATGGAATATACATCCCTGTCACAGTGAAAGGGTTTGTAACTCTCAGTGCTGATCCACCATGACAATTCTGTAATATGCAGTTTGTGAAAATGGAGCCGTGCCAGTGCCAAACCTCCAGGGAGCAAAGTCTCTCCCTGTGAAACTCAGGCGACTGAAACACACCATCTCGACCTCAACATGAATAATTTGCATGAAAAATGAGCAGGTTTATATTCTGCCGAGGGTGAAAACTCAGCAGACAGTGTTCAGTTGAGTTCTCTCACCCGGCAGAGGAATGTGTTCATTTTTCTTATGTTAATTGTCGGGAAATGATTAATGAATTAATGAAACTACATAGAATTCTTCAACATTAAAAAGAAAATGGTCAAGTCTGTCAAGTTTGTCAAATCATGCACCCATGCACAACAGACCTTTCATTTTTTACCTCCTCAACTTTTTTTAGTTTTAAACATGACTTTTAAAGAAGTTGTCAGGTGATAAATGGACCTTGTGTTTTGTGTGTGTTTGGGAAATGAAAATGTCTTAGTGTGTTTATGCAGGTATATAAAGAAGATCTGCCACAGTTGCGACAGCAGAGCAGAGAAAAGAAGCAGCAAGTCGGATCTCTGAAGAGACAGAGAGGACCAAACCAAGGACTCCGACTGCAGTTTGTGCACGGGTATGTGTGTGTGTGTGTGTGTGTGTGTGTGTGTGTGTGTGTGTGTGTGTGTTTTTTTGTGTGTGTGTGTGTGTGTGTGTGTGTGTGTGTGTGTGTGTGTGTGTGTGTGTGTGTGTGTGTGTGTGTGTGTGTGTGTATGTGTGTGTGTGTGTGTGTGTGTGTGTGTTTGTTTGTGTGTATGTGTGTGTGTGTGTGTGTGTGTGTGTGTGTGTTTGTTTGTGTGTGTGTGTGTGTGTGCTTTATGTTCAAAGGTAGGTGTAAATGTTGGTCTCACATCTAGACACTGGCCAAGGACTTTAATGTAAAATTCCCAAAGATAATCTCACTGGATCAGACATAGTAACCTTTCTGTGAACCCCAAATCCAATTTGAAGTTGTCTCGAGTTTATTTTTAATTTGGTGCAGACCAAATGCCTCTGGATGCTACTACTAAGCCAGTACTAAGTTTTATCAAAAATGTATTTTGACCCAAATCCTGTAGATGAGTGCACAAGAGGCCTGATAAAAAAAAGGCTTTTCCTTCATGCAACTTTTAAAAACTGTAGGCACCACAAGTAGGTGTGTGGTATGAAAGCGTAAATTCTGAAGGGTTCATAGGTCACTATGAGCTCCTGAAGATACGATGGTGTGACCATTAAGAGCTTTAGGAGAAAGATTTCAAAGGTTATTTAGATTTTATAGGGGCCAAAACACAGAAGACAATTTGGGACGAATTATGTTTTTCTTGTTCATGTCAGTACATGCAGAGAAGCATTTTGTCTTGAGAGACTCTGATGTCTGAATTAAGCCCTGAGTAACATCTTCATAGTAGATTGTTAGTCTGAAAAACAACGAGACATGACAGATTGATTGAGCCAACAATGATACATACTTTATGTTTACCACAGGGCTGGCCTTCCACTCGTGCTTCATCGCTTGTCAGTTAGTCACATTCAGCAAAGTTCTCACTAAATGTGCCCCTGTGATGAAATTAGACTTTGTCTGCTTAACGTTTTGTCGGCCATGTTGAAATTAAGTCAAAATGATGCCACAAAATAACTTTTCTGGTAATTTCTCATCTTGGTAATAAACCTGAAGCAACCTATAATGTTCACTCTGTCTCAGGATGTTTAGCTATAGTGTGTTTAAACAGAGTGAACTTCAGGGTGACAAATTCTCTTTGATTTTATTGGCCAAATAGATTGAAATTATTATGAAATCTATAAATAATAATGTGTCCATGTAGAGATAAGAGTAAGACGGCGTTCCACCTTTGCCTTTAGATTAGTGTTCACAAAAACCAAAAGACCTTTGACAAAAAATGAATGCCTTAAATGCTGTGAAACCTCCCAGTGAGATCTCCAAACAAGACCAGTAAAGATCCAGCTGGTTGGTAATTTGTGTTTGTTTGTGCGCATGTTTTTTTTGTGTGTGTGTTTGTGTTTTTTGCAGATACCGTGGTTATGACTGCAGGAACAACTTGTTCTACACTCAGGGGGGAGAGGTGTTGTACCACGTGGCGGCGGTGGGCGTGGTCTACAACCGGCAGCTGCACAGTCAGCGCTTCTACCTTGGCCACGACGACGACATCCTGAGTCTCAGCATCCACCCGCTGAAGGACTACGCTGCTACGGGACAGGTGCACAGACACACACACACACACAAACACACACACACTGCCCTAAGCTTTTTGACAAGAGCTGTTGAGAAGAACTTCAAAGCAAATTAGACTTTTCCAATGTCTGAAAAACTGAACATCAGTAGGGTTTAAGAGTTTTAGGTCCAGCATGTCTAGATTTAGAGGAGCCTGATAACTTGATTAGTCTGTAAGTACATATGTTAATGTGTTTTCACAGGTGGGGAGGGACCCGGCCATCCATGTGTGGGACATCCAGACTCTAAAGTGTCTCTCTTTACTCAAAGGATTCCACCAGAAAGGAGTGTGTGCTCTGGACTTCTCAGGTAAACTTGTTTGAATTAGCCAGTTGGAATAACACTGATGTGCTAATCTAGATAAAAGGTCTTATTTTGTGGAGAGTTCTTGAAGCTTGGAATGGGACAGAATTCCATACTGAAGAGTTTACATCCATTGACCTGCTCGTGTTTGCACCAATGAAGTTTCTCTCATCCAGCTGGAAATGTCCTCTCCTGTTTGTTTATACTGTAGAGGTGAAATTTATTTATTTATTTTTTTGCTGTTTGTGTTTTCCTGATGCAGCTGATGGAAAAAGTCTGGTGTCCGTGGGAGTCGACGACGGACATACAATTGTTGTCTGGGACTGGAAGAGAGGAGAGAAACTCGCTACTGCCAGGTACTGTACAAAAAAATACAACTGTTACCACAAAAAGGCAGGCACACTGTAAAAATAAATACAATCATACATAATTTACTAACCAAAATGTGTTTCTAGTTTTACTTATATCACTTTTACTACAGTAAACTTACTATAAGTAGAATTTACTAAAGCTGGACGCACACTAGATGATTTTAAGGCCCGATTTTCCCCCCACAGCAATCTGGGGGCCGTGTAGTTGTATGTCTTTGAAAAGCATTTCGTTGTTGTTTTATTTTGCAGGGGTCACAAGGAGAAGATATTCGTGGTGAAGTGTAATCCCATGCTGATGGACAAACTTGTCACAGTGGGAATCAAACACATTCTTTTCTGGCAACATGCAGGTAAAAGCTACAGATAGGGTGTTTTATTATCTAACACAATGTTGATACACATGAGTGTGTAAGGGGTTAGAACGTCAATTGTAACAACACTAGTACTTATGTGTTTTTATAATGAGGTAATGTTTGTCTTCAGTAGTTTGTTTTAGTTTTAAGTTGTTTTATATTGACACTTTTTGGGGGATTTTTTTCAGTACAGATTTGTTGTTTTTCTTTCCCGATATCTAATTTGTTGACTCAATGTTGTCTGTTGCTGTAGTAACCTTGTGTGTTTTGTCTTATTCCCACCATGACTCTGTAATGGTGTTCCTACTCTACAGTCCATTCCTGACCTTTTACTGCTGCAGCATCCAGAGTCCCAAAAGAGACAATTAAATCCTTTCATGAATCAAACGTAGACTCTCCTGTGTGAGAGTTTGTGACCTTTATGCTAGACTTTCTCAGGCTGGGCTGTGCCTCTGTAAGGGGGGGTTTATTGCTGGGTGTTTAGAGGGGTGACAAGAAAAGAGACATGTGAGCCTAAGAGACCGAGTGAGGTTTAGTCTGGCTGCTGGTTTGGCACTTTATCAACACAGTCAGCATTTAAAGCAGCCGAAGTTCAAACATCATAGCTTCTGATTTCTGCATTTCACATAAAATGTGCACTTATATTAGGTGTCAAAACTGAGTCCCATTTGAACAGACACAAAAAGGCACTAACTATGTGGGGTCATCATTTTATGTTCATCATGCATGAACATCCATAAATCCGCTTATGTATCATAGAAACATGGCTTCTTCTGGTGATAGAGCATTATGAAAATGAAAGGTTTTCTTCAGGTTGTAAATAATCCATTAAAACTGGAGTGTGGATATGTTTCAAACCAGAACTGTTAATCACTTCCTTAGCATATTGTTAATATGGAAGCCAACATTTTTACAAACAGACATGAGTCAAGCCAAGTTTGAGTCTTTTTGTGCAGTAATGCAACATTTATGTTAAACACTGTTGAAAATGTTTATTCTTTTGTTGAAAGTTATCATGATCAGAAAAAAAGATCACTTGTTCTTAAACAAGATCATGATCAAGTGATCAAGATGACCGATAAAGTTCTGAAATGGTCTCCATTTGTCTCCAGGTGGGGGTCTGACTTTTAGGCGTGGTGCGTTCAGGAGCATCAGCCGGCCGGAAACAATGATGTCTGTGTGTTATGGACGCAGCGAGGCGCTGGTGTTCACAGGGGCCACTACAGGAGACGTTTACATCTGGAAGGAACCGCTGCTGCTGAAAACCATCAAAGCTCATGATGGACCTGTGTTCGCAATGTTCTCCCTCGACAAGGTGAGGAGGACACAAGTGTGTTAGTGTGTGTGTGAAAAAGAGAGAGAGTGACTGAAACAGAGGGAGCTCCCCATAATCTGCTTTATACATCAAGAAAGATGAACGATGAAAATGCCTCCAGGTCCAGGTTTCAATTAAACACTGTGAACAGTTCTCCAGACGATCATCCTCCTACTAATGATCTGTTTACATTCTGTGTGTGTGTGTGTGTGTGTGTGTGTGTGTGTGTGTGTGTGTGTGTGAACCCACTTGCACTCAGTGTTAGTCATGCTGAACAGGATTGTCAGCTAAATACCCAAATATCTCAATGTAGGAGTGAGCAGACGTGTACTTTATTTACATGTTTTTTTGCTGGCATCCATCTGTTTTCCCTCCCTCCCTTCCTCCCTCCCTCCCTTCCACTTCTCCATTTTTCTCTCTGTTCATTGTTTTATCTCCCTCTCTCACATTCACTCCACGGCTCTCTTTATGTAACAGGATTTGAAGACAGACAAGCCAATAGACAGGCTCACAGGAGAGACTCTATTTAACCAGAAACTAATTTAAATCCACAAAATCTCATTCCTTTCTTGGTTCATGTTATCACATTTCTGTTTGTTTTGGATTTTATGTTCAGAATGACTCGATCCACCTCTCAGCATCAGTATCTACACTGTGCCTGAATGTGAAGATGATCTAAGCTTGCAGCTCACTTTAATGTTACAGAGTAGATAAAGTTATAAAAACAAAGTGAAAAGATAAATTATTCAGCATCATATTTTCTTAAGTAGCTTTGAAATTGGTGGTCAGCAGCGTAAATGTCTAATTTCTTTTAATGCCTTTTGGCTCAATTCCCATCTCATTGAAATAAGACAAAGAAGGCAATCGTTGTTTTTTTCATCTTTTTTAATCACTTTTTTTATATATATAAATGTTCTCTATTTGATCCCACAGGCATGTGCACCAAATTTAGTTTGCACCTCAGTTTTTGTGCATTCCATGCCTATTGACTGTATATCAATGTCATATGGACAGTGCCTCTCAGCCCTCGACCATTGGAAACAAAAGTGAAGCCAAAATATCCAATCATGAAATCCATTGATGTTGAGAGGAGGAAATGTTGCAGATAATATGGCTCTGGGGGTCCAGTAGTCTCTGAGAAAAACTGAGTTAGCGCTCAGCATAAGCTTCTCCTGATGTGCTGTCAACTGAGAAGCTGAGAAAAAGCTTTCATTATTACACATTACATGACTGTTTCATTCACTATTTTCTGGTTTAAAATGATCTTCATTCACAGACAACAGCCTTAAAAATGTGTGAAAGACAACTTTATCAGGTGTGAATAAATGTTATAATGTTTAACTAAAGCATCTGATTGCTGCAGATTTCTGTAATTATCAGGATACTCTTCAACGTTGCCACATTTATTATAATAGTATAAAAATCAATCATAGCCAGCAGTGTGTAATGGGATATGTTGATGATGAGCACTTAACATACAGCACACTTTGCCATCAATGTATGGTTTTTAAATGGGTGAATGTGACACGTAGTCTAGAAGCACTTGAGTGGTCAGAAGACTAAAAAAGTCCTACACATATGCAGGCCATGTGCTGTTTCTCTTCCCTTCAGTTTTCCTGTCATCATGGACAGACTTTTGTTCAGGTATGCATGATTTTTGATTAGAAATATCGTTTAAATAATAAAAGAAAAACATGATGATATACTTTTATATTCCTCCTCTACTTTTTGCCCTCATGTGGCGTTGTAAAAAACTTGGATATCTTTATCATTGTCAGCGTTCAGGGAGTTGCTGAATGTTTTATGACTCGCAGAGTTAAAACCCAAGAAAGCACACTCTTTCATACCACATCAACTGAGTGAGAGACTTGAGATTAAACAAGTTGCCTGAAGATCTCAGGCAGAGTCGGAGAAGGAGAGAGAGAAACCTGTCAGTAGAGGCAGACAAGACTGATGGCTGACAGCCCACAGAGCTGAAGGAGGGGGAGGTAGATGTCTCTGGTAGATCTGACATGTTTCTGCTTTGTTTCAGCACAGCATGGGTCTGCGTTTGCCTCTTATTGAAATATCAGTAACTCAGTTAAAACCATTTGTTTTCAGGGCTTTGTGACAGGCGGGAAGGACGGCGTGGTGGAGCTGTGGGACGACATGTTCGACCGATGTCTGAAGACGTACGCCATCAAGAGAGCAGCGCTGTCCCCGGGCTCCAAAGGTACACACAGCCCCATCCACCAATTGAAAAACTCAGCTGCAGACCACCACGTCTGAAACATCAAACATCAATCAACACTTTGAAACTAAAGTGCTTCTTTATAACATAGCTCTGGAACGCTCTGCCTGTTGAGATAAGACAGATTACTTATTGCAGCAGCCCCTCACCGTACTGCATCTCCTGTCTATCTCCTGCTTACAAGTTCAGCCTCTCTGGCATGGAATCATTATTTCATGAATGAGTGAGTTCAGATATAAACCTCTCTGAATGATTTTGCAACCACAAAAACAGTGCTTTTTTTATTTGCGGTTTCTGTTTTCATTCTACTTCAATAGACAAGACATGCCCGCATAACTGTGGGTGATTATTTTCCATTTCAGTCATCCATATCTGCTTTGTTGATTAAATCATGTTAAACATGTTTTCATAAAAGCTGTCCCTGATCAGAAAATGTCCAATTAATTTTAAAAGCACATTTTATACCCAAAGGTAACCCCAATGTGCTTCACCAAGACAAAATAATTGTACAATAAAAAGTGAAAGCTGTTCGAACAACAAATCCAAGGGAAAGAAAGAACAACAAAAAACTATTTACAAAACAATATTGATTCATTTAAATGATGGAAACAGGGAAGTACATTGCATTACTGTCTTTCATTATCTGTTTATACACAAGCTCTACTTCTAAGCATCCATCCATCCTTCCATTCATTTATTCATTCCTCCATCCATCCATCCGTCTGTCCATCCATCCATCCATCCATCCATCCATCCATTCATTCCTCCATCCATCCGTCTGTCCATCCATCCATCCATCCATCCATCCATCCATCCATTCATTCATCCATCCATCCATCTATTCATCCATCTCTCCATCCCTCCATCCATCCATCCATCCATCCATCCATCTATTCATCCATCCATCTATTCCTTCCTTCCTTCCTTCATTCATTCATTCATTCATCTAATAATTAATCAATTTATCCATCAATACAAATAATAAAGACTAATATTTAATTCAATTTTAATTAAGAAGTTTAGGCATTTATCCCTTAGCATTTTCAAAATGTTCATATACTATTTATGATGCTACCACATTAAAAATACATTGAGAAATTATTGTATAAGATTTTCCCTGACTTTAAGACAGGGGGTATAAGCCACAATTATATTAAATTAGAGTTTTAAGTAAAGCTGTTTTCACATACTGTAGAAACTACTCTGTAGTCAACACTGCCATCTGGTGGACACATAGTGAAATACACCTCAGTTTTTTAAACTAAACTTATCAGTTTTGGAAAGTTACACAGAATGGATTTTCTTCCCAGTAACCACTCAGATGACTTCATGTGTGCAGGCCTGCTTCTGGAGGACAACCCGTCCATCAGAGCCATCACTCTGGGTCACGGTCATATCCTTGTGGGAACCAAAAACGGGGAAGTCCTGGAGATCGACAAGACTGGGCCCATGACCCTGCTGGTGCAGGTGTGTTGGCTTGCAGTTTTCAACTTAAATTGTATTTGTGGATACCTCATACATTGTTCAGTTAATTGAACTCTTAACCTGATTTGCATGTAAACTCCAGGCATATAAACTTACATGTTACCCAAGTGAAGTAAGGTGGAGCGCTTTCATTCAGTATTTAAGGGTTAAAAGTGTATGTTGAATCATTGGCCTTTTTACTTATTTTGAGATTTAAATGAATGATAGGTACAAGAAGTTTGTCTGATAATAACAGAAAGACAGAAATGTGTGTGTGTTTGTGTGCATGTGTGTGTGCGTGTGTGTGTACAGTGTCTGTACACACCTGTGGGTGTGTTTATGAAGTGTGTGAGGTTTTTTGTGTGACAGTCTGAGTGCTTTATGATGTCTAATTGTTCAGTCAGGTTGAACTCAGACAAGACCATCTAGTGATCTATGGAGGATTCACTGTTTGGGTCAGGGTGGTGCTTACTGGTTTCAAGCATCACCCCTGTTACCTAGCAACCTCAGCAGAAGCACCACAACTATTTAACATAGATGAACATCTCTTGACTTAACCTATTATTTAAAGACAATTTGAAGTTTTGAAATTTGTGTGTGTGTGTGTGTGTGTGTGTGTGTGTGTGTGTGTGTGTGTGTGTGTGTGTGTGTGTGTGTGTGTGCGTGCGTGTGTGTGTTTGCAGGGTCACATGGAGGGTGAGGTTTGGGGTCTGGCCCCTCACCCCCTCCTTCCCGTCTGTGCCACTGTCAGTGACGATAAAACCCTGCGACTGTGGGAGACGTCAGCCAATCACCGCATGGTGGCAGTCCGCAAGCTGAAGAGAGGTCAGATAAAGGATCCGACTAAACATGGTTCTGTCTATTAACTTGAAATGATGTTCATGTAAAATCTCTGGTGATTATTTTTTTAAATAGCAGTTTCCCTCATAGCTTCTTAATTAGCTTCAATACATTATAAATGTAGTAAAGTAAATTGTCCCCCCTCAGTTAATGTTGAGTTTAGGAAGACAGGCACAAAGTGACTCAAATTTGTACTTGTGCAGTATTTGAGTAAATGTTTTCAGTTACATTCCACCCCCGCACAGTGTTTTGATTTTAATTTATTTTTGGACTTTGCAGTTGTTTACATAGGTAGCTGCGTATTTTGTCTTTTTGAAGAGAAATGTTTTGATTTGCATTATTGCAATAGTTTATCAGGTCTCTATGCAAGATAACAAGCAGACAACTTTTTATGGGACCGTTTTAAACGAACCCAAATATTCTCAAAAAAAGCTACTTAAGGGTGAATAAGGAGCTGGTTTTGTATGCGTGGTCTTGGTGGGGAAACAAAGCCACTTTTTGCTGGTTTGGATGCAGAAATCCATTTATTTACAGTTCCGTCATAATAGGATATTATAAATAGACAAAAATGTTCAACAAACCGAATACAATCAAACTACAGCACACAAAACTCTGACTATGACACGGTCAAAATGTGTACCGGTATGCCTTCAATTCACACACCTGGCTCTAATCACATGCAGCCTTGGCTTTATGTCTGGCACAAGACTCCACCTACAGTTCAGTATCGGAGTTACACTCAAAATCACACAGTGTTAACAACAGTTTCACACAGAGATGAAATAACGACCAATAAAAATTCATTTTAGCTCCAACCTTTTAAAATACTCGTTCTCTGGATAAAATTTACCATTTGACGCAATTTCAGGATAATCTCATCACTTTAAATACGCAGAATCACATACATTTTTAAATGTGTACCTAAATTTTGCAATCATGTATTTGCATATATGTCCCCCCCAACAGAATAATTGCCTCTATCTGCGTCGCCACATCGAGTTTGTTTGTTGTTGTTCCACCCAAAACATGTGTTCTGAACACACCTTTAGACAGTAAACAACAGAGAGGATATGAGGACGAAACGATGAGATGTCTAATGACAGATCAAGTAATATCATTTAGACTCCTGAATAAACTAATATTATAAATAATTATTCATAAACATGTAGATTAAACTAAGAGTGTCTTTTACCAGGAGGTCGCTGCTGTGCCTTCTCTCCTGATGGGAAGGCATTGGCAGTCGGTCTGAGCGATGGCGGCGTGCTGGTGGTGAATGCTGACACGCTGGAAGATCTCTTGAGCTTCCACCATCGCCGTGACGCCATCTCTGATGTTCGCTTCACCCCTGGTGAAAACAAAAACAACAAAACACACTCTCACGCACCCATCAATACAAATATTACTGCTAAAGACAAGTCCACTCATCCTCTCTTGTATCTCACATTTTCTTGTACACACTTGTTCTCAGACTCAGGTAAATTCCTGGCGGTGGCGTCACATGACAGCTTTGTGGACCTCTACAATGTGCTGAGCAGTAAGAGAGTGGGCATCTGTAAAGACGCTTCCAGTTACATCACCCATATCGACTGGGACGCACGAGGTAACAAATGCTGCTCTCTTCCTTTATTACATCTCTGAGCTTCACTTTTATTTTATTTTTTTCATCTTAATCTGCAGAATAACTAAAGCTTCTCAGAGCTCACTTTATATCTCAGTGTAACACTGGGGACATGTTTGCAGGATCTATGACATCACCAACAGGTTAAATGTACATGAGGAGCAGACTTATTCTCCCATTCTTAAAAAGCAGAGCCAGAGCAAAAGTGTTCTTTTTTTAACGGCTAGCTGGGCTGCAGCTCCAGTTGTTGCAAAAAGAAGTCTGATTGTAAAGAAGTCAAAGAGAAGAAGAGCTTACCTGTCTCTGCAAACATTATCTTAGTTATGTGTTTAAGGACTTGTTCCCTTGTTTCAAGTCTACTCTTTCATTCACTCATTCATTCAACCTTTATTTATACTTGAAAGATCATTGAGGGGCAACCCTCATTTACAATGACATCGAGTCATTACAGAAATAATTTAGAAAACAGACATTAAATCAAAAAGAAAAACAGGAGACAGATAATACAAGACTGCTAAAAAAGAAATGTAAATGTACTAAGATAATTAAGCGAGTACAAAACTGCAATAAATAAATACGCTTATGTAAAACAGTTACAAACAGAGGTTGGGAGGCTTAAAATCAGGTTTCTAAAATGCCCAAAAGGTAAAAGTTAATTTCCCTCAAGAAGACGCTGTATGTTGTTCCAAGAGTTTGGTGCAGAATAAGAGAAAGCAGATTTTCCCAGTTCCAATCTGACTCGAGGGACATTCAACAGTAAACGCCTTGAGGAACGTGTCTGGTAATGCCCAGTCGAGAGATGTACGAGTTCTGTCAGGTATGAGGGTCATTTTTCTGTGAGAGCTTTATAAATAAAAAGATGCCAGTGCATATCACGTCTGAGATATATAATTAATTTACTTTTGTAACTATGGTCCAATGAAGAATAAAAAAGAAGAAGTAGCTTACACTTTTGGGCATGGCTACCATGTGACTGTCAAGTCTCTACCACAGCAACCTGAAAATGACCTTAAAACGATTATCTGAGCAGGAGCCTGTGCCTTTTTTCAATTACTTAAACCTGTTTTTTGCCAACCAAAATTTGCTTCCACATTATTATTCCATATAACATGGATTAAAGCTGCACCTTGCTAACCATGCTAGCTCAAGCTAACCCACCATGCTATGCAGGTCCACACTTTCATCCAGATTTGTCAGTCCTGGCACTTTTCATGTCCAAAGTATCAAACTCTTTAAACAGTGTAAATAGTTTTGAGATTGCACATGTCAATCAATGGTTAGATTTATAAACAGAAGTCAAGAGCCAATCAGGGCACAGTATGATGCTTATAGTTTATATGAAGTTGTGATTATGAACCTGACAAATCTACTTAAGGTAATTTAAACAATAAACTGACACGTTCGTGTCAGAAGAAATAACATTTCAGCAGCAGATTGTGTTAAACTGAACTTGTTACCTGTTTGAAGTTTGTGACATGTATTTATAAAAAGATGATTATGTGATTTCTTCCTCCTAAAGTCTGTTTGTGTCTGTGCTGCAGGAAAACTGCTGCAGGTGAATACAGGAGCGAAAGAGCAACTGTTCTTTGAAGCCCCGAGAGGAAAAAGACAAACCATTAGGAACTCTGAGGTGAGATACATTTAACACAGCTAAGTTTGTGGAAAACTGAACCCTCAACTAGTAATGTCACTATTTGACTGTTACGTTTGACCAGGAAAGAACATTGACAACAAATTTGGACTTTTTAATCGGGTGCTTTGAGTTAAGTTATTGGTTGCGGTTCAAAAATGAAAATAATCTTCAAGTATCTCCAAGTACCAAGTATTCTTCGGAACTAAAAGATTAAGGAAAAACAGCAAAGTGATGGTAGCAGAATATAACATGAACAACATGTTTCTTCATATTAAGTTCTTATTTAAACTTCATTACAGACTCTATAAAAAAATGGACACAGCTACTCAGAGAGACATCAGTGTTACAGGTTATATAAACATTGCCTGCTGCATTAGTTAAGATTTTACTCTTTCCTTCTTTAGACCTATATGGATAGGTGTTCATGCAGTTTAAGGTGAAACTTTCAAAGAAAAATAAGGGGCTTCTACAGTATCTGAAACACAACACAGTGCATGTGTTATCGTTCAACACTACAGTGGTTAAAGTGTTAAATCTGTTTAAGATGTTGAATGTTTATTATGTTATTGTACACATGTGTAGCTGGAGCGGATCGGTTGGTCGAGCTGGACGTGTGTCCTGGGTTCCAGCTGTGAGGGAATCTGGCCGACGTACAGCGACATCACCGACATCAACTCTGCGTCGCTCACCAGAGACAGAACACTGCTCGCCACCGGAGACGACTTCGGATTCCTGAAACTGTTCAGCTACCCTGTTAGAGTACGACACAACCACCACTCAATGGTTACTGTGTGGACTCAACCTCAGTTTCACTTCTAAATTATAAGCACATGATTAACATATAAGCAATCCCTGTACTGCAGTATTTGTATTATTGCTATATGACTTGCTATAAAATCTCTCTTCAATGTGAAAATGTATATTTAGGTGTATTTCTTCTTGTCCTTCTCCCTGCAGGGTCAGTATGCTCGTTTTAAACGTTATGTGGGCCACAGCGCACAGGTGACCAATGTCCGCTGGGCTCATGACGACTCCACCCTGCTGACGGTGGGCGGGGCCGACACTGCACTGATGATCTGGGCAAGGGAGAGAGGAGGCGGGGTTTGTGGAGAGGGGGAGGGGCCTTTGTTTCGTGACAACAGACCACCTGTGGACAGCGAAGAGTCAGACGACGACATCGAGGAGGACGGAGGTCAATTTTTCTAACATTGAATTAGAACCTGATTGTAATAGAAACCGTTTGATGTTAAAGTCTTTAAGAAAGTGCCCTTAAATGTGATGTGTTTTTGTGCCCTCTACATCAGAATTACTAAAGCAGGGAAATGATTTCTGCTCTTGACTTCCACTCAATACAGTTTTTCTCATTTATCATGATCACCATACTTAGACCCTCAGCTGTTAATGTTCTGATCTGAGCTTCACAAACTACTTTCAACCTTTAAAACCTACTGTTAGGTGGGGGTTATTTCTGTAGTAGATGGACAATTATAAAACGTGAAACAGACTGTGGATCATCTTAGATTTATTCAACCATGGTCAGACAACACAGAAACACAACACACATGGCTGACAAAGTGCAGACCATCGCTGACCCATGCTGACCAAGATCACACAATCATTGACAATCACTGGCAAAGTGGCCATCATGGGCAAAATGGCAAAATGGCAAAATGGCAAAGTCTTCATCACACAGTGTTGCTTATATTCTGCTAGAAGGTACAGCCCACAAATTCCTTTCCATTTGGGTACATCCCTATAAAACAATAAAGATGACATGACACTGATTTGTATACGTATCAGATGTAGACTCTCTGTCTAGCAAACAGTTGTTGACAACATATAGTTGGCTCCTATCCAAACATAGATCTGCTACAATTTACATGTTTCACCATATAAGGTTAACGCTTCACAGACCCAAAAGTAGGGTTACTGAGATGGTTGACACATTTTAAAGATATGTCCACAAAATTATCAAGATGAATAAATCCATGAAAATACGTACTAACACCTACTTACTTCATTACCTTTGCCAAGGCTTCTTTTTACGGGTGTTGATGTTGAATTTGTTAGCAGGATTACAGGGTAGCTAGCAGCCCAATTATACTGAATGGACAAACATAATATTTCAACCTTAAGGGGCTTCATGCCAATTTAAACCCAAACCCAGAAAAGAAGAAATTTTCTAGTAGTAATTTTGTAACTTTTTGTATTTTTATTTTGTTACTTATTTTGTGTTTTTATGTCCAAAGGCTACGACAGCGACGTTGCTCGGGAGAAGGCCGTGGAGTACACCACCAAGATGTACACTGTGAGCCTCAGAGAGATGAGAGGAACCAAACCTCACCAACAGGTGAAGGAGCTGTCAGTGGAGGAGAGGTATGCATAAACACACACACACACAAACACACAAACACATAGACACACACACTATTGTCAGGCTTTTTTCTGTTTTTGTCAGACAGTTTGTTTATTTGTTTGTTTTTGTTTTCCCAACTTGTCATTTGAGCTTCTGGTGCAGCTTTAAAGTTTGTCAACCTTGAGCATTAATAATTCACAGCTTTAGAAACAGAGTGTTATATCCCTTTAAGATTTGTAAGATTTGAGTTGTTTACTTTATGACGCAGACTGTTGCACGAAAAACTGAGCTCTTTTTATGATCACTGTTTTGTCAGTGTGTGTGTGTGTGTGTGTGTGTGTGTGTGTGTATGTGTGTGTGTGTGTGTGTGTGTGTGTGTGTGTGTGTGTGTGTGTGTGTGTGTGTGTGTGTGTGTGTGTAACTAGTCCAGTGACAGAGTTTTCACTCTTGTATGTTAAAATCAGACTAGCTATAACTCATAACTCATTGTCTCAGTTTGCTGTGTGTAGTCATTACACATGCTAACCCACTTGTTGCCTCAGTGTCAGTGAGTTTCTGTGTTCAAAACGTGCAACAACTAAAGGAACCTAACCTAGGAAGTAATTATGCTGAGTGCCATTTTGTCAAACATGATGTCTTAGTGACAGTAATACTAAAATGTACAAAACAAGACTGAATAAACTCCTTCGATGCTGCAGTATAGTGACATTGAAGCTAAGATAATTACCACAGATAATTATGTGTATAAAGCTCCACATGTCTTTTTAAGGGCCTAAAGGTGTCTTGTAGCGTTGACTTTAAGATTCTTGTTTTTGTCCCTTTGTGGTATCCTTAGTTCCTGAGTACTGCTGCTGCTCTCTGGCTTTGCCTGTAGAAACTCTTTTAATATTTGTGTTGTGTTTTAACTTGCATTCCCTTGGAGGCAGGGCATTGTCAAGTAAGTATGAGCTAATATCTATCTGTAAATGATTTACAAAATGTAAAAACATCACATGATATAAATATTCTATATGAGCTGTATATAATCAGACTTTAAAAATGTGCCTGGTTAGGCAATTCAATTCAATGAAAGTTTCCTACAACATGAGACAATAATTAAATAAATGTGGTTCCTTATAAGAACAACTTGTGAGCCGCTCTCTGAGTTGTGTTTGTAGAGAACGTTTGGTGGATGTTTTGGGGCAAGACAAAACAACACTTACGCCTCTTTAACGACCGGGTTCAGCATCGCAAATTAAAACTGGAGCTACAAGAACTTTTAACAAAAGATAGAAAACGTCTTTATAGTCACCCTGAAATCTACAATTACACAGCTCATGAACCAGCTATGCATGTTTTCCATTTCTACATTTATGTTCAAATACCTTTATCATCTCTCAGTCACAACATCTTGTACTAAACTGGCAGTTTTGCTTTTTGGGTTCCAGCATTAAAACATAAGGAATGATTTATTAAGTAAAGCAGATTGTCTGGCTGGAACAGTTTATTATGTTTATTGCTTTATTTGTATATAAAGTTTCCATGATTTGATGTTTTATCTGTATATTTGATATGCTTGTATTAGTTTAAGTAGTATAAGTAGTTTATCAGTGAATACTCTGATGTTTCAAACAACTTCAACAGCTTGCATTGATTATAATGTATTTTTCCATTTGATCATTGCCTGTCATTTGAATACACTGCTTCTAATAATGTCTCATCCCATGTTCTTCTACCTTTCTTTTTCTTCCCCTCTACAAATCCAGATCATTACTTATTCTTCTCTACTTTTCCTTCCTTTATACCCTTCTTCATCTTCTATCTTGTTCCTCCTCCTCTGCTGTTTTCTGTTATAAATGATCTCCTGGTTGGATTTCTCCTCCTTCCTCAGCCTGGTTTCTGTCCTGCACATGTTCTCCATCATGACCAAACATATTTTGATTCTCCATCATCAGACTGCCAAAAATGTATACTAAGCTAAAACCAAACAACCAAAACTAAGACAAGGAGGAGCTTATCACACAAAAAAACAACTCAGAAATCCATTATCTGCTGGGGGTGAGAAATGGCCAACTTATTCTGCCAACAGGATTAAAATCAATTACTAGCAAAAGTAAAGTTCCTCCCCACCTCACATTAGGGATAATGGGGCTTGAGAATGTGCATAGACAGTTTTGGTAGATGGTTGTTCATTATAAGTCTGGTTCTGCTCGTGTCAAAAACAGTCAATGAACATTTTCAAATCTTAAACGTAGTTTTTAATCTGAAGAGTAACGGTTCTGTGTAAAAACACTACTGCTAATAGACATCAAAAAATCTGTTGTTGCTGGTTGGCTCCATTCAGCTTCAGTAAGAGAATACAATGAATACATTTTTATGGAGATCTTATAAAGATGGGTAGAGGCTAGTTAGCAACAGTGTTTCGCTATTACAAGGAAACACGAGGATGCAGGTGAAGTATCCCTGTTTTTTGAGCTGTTATAACATCAAAATTTCCCCCAATGGGGGGGATCAATAAAGTTGTATCTTATCTTATTCCAAATAAACGTCCATTGATATCCCTGGAAAAGATCAATTAAAAAAATCCCATTTAAACTGCAAAGCTTGCCTGTGAATCATCATGTTTTTAATTTTAGTCCAAGATCAAATGAATCCAGCTAGCCCACAGCTAACTCACTGACTCTGTGGTAACACTTCCCTCTGTACATGCCTCAATGCATCATGGGATCTGCAGGCATACAATTTACTCTTTTTTTTTTAAACGGCTAACATGTCAGCTACACTCGCATGTCAGCCTGACAGCCCATACGTGCATCCCAGTAGTATGCTAGCATTTTGTTAGCATATCTAGTCATATTATAGTTATTCTGAGGCATGCGGTCTGTATGTGTGTAAAATGTCGTGTGTAAGTTGTTATCTTTGCGTGAGTGGATGGATGCAAATGTATTTGTGTGTGTGTGTGTGTGTGTGTGTGTGTGTGTGTGTGTGTGTGTGTGTGTGTGTGTGTTTGAGTGTGTGTGTGTATGTATGTGTGTTTGTGGGTTTTCTAAAGCTCTTTACCTTGGTTCTGTCCCTCTGCTCTCAAGGGGATCCAGGTAACACCTGTCCACCTGTCTATATGCAAAGCCTCTTCATTGTGCATTATGTGTGTGTTTGTATCACACACCTGTTGGCATTACGTCACACCGTTCAAAGCCTCCAGGTCATTCTCCAAGTCATCCATGACGCCTGATTTGTCAGAGATGTGACATTAGCGTTTTATTAAAGTGCTCATTCTCAGTCTTTTCCCATTTTTAAAGAAGCTCTTCCCATCACATAACCGTAGAACGCTCCATATCATATATTGTATATATCTACATAAAGTGCAGTCACACATTGGTTTGTGGGTTTGTTAATATTGTTTTAATTTGAACTGAAAAACAAACAAAAAACAAAGTGCCAAATCCCGACCCCAACTGTACAAGACAGGGTCCAAAGAACTGAGGGGGGGGGGGGGGCAGGCTTTGTCTGCTCTGATGGGGTGTTTGTTGGCCTGTTCTAGGGATGTATCAATGAGAACAATTCAACATTTATGTTAATTTTTTACATCAATGGATTACTGTTTTGTGGGTCCTCAGGGGGGGGCTCAGCTTTTCTTAGATACAAGTAGGGGGGCTCCAAGGAAAAAGTTTGGGAACCACTGCTCTTGCACATTCCCAGCGTTATGGTCTATTTTAGTCTTAATGTGATCCTTAAATATGGATTAAAAATCTTTCTCTTTTGGAGAAGAATTCAAATAAAGATTGAGAATATAAGGTTAATATGAATATGTTTACTGAGGTAATGAATCAAATAAGAAGTATGAGCTCATTTGTTATTCTTTTTTCAATCAGTGGGGTCGACCTCTGCTGACCATGAGTAAGGATCAAGCTTTAAAACACATTTAGCATTGGCTTTAATTTTCAAACAGGAGTTAATGTCCATTTTATAATGGACATCAATACAAAAATTAGTTAAGCAATAATTGATTCCTCTTTCAGAGTGGCGCAAAAGTAGAATTACATTTCATCTCAGGTTAATCATATACTGTTTAATGAGAGGGTTTGATAATTAATGGTCAAAGTTGTTTGTAATTTGTTTAGCTGGGATGGTGTTTATTCAATTTTTCCGTGTCCATACTTTACATCACATAGGTCTGTTACCTTATATGGTATGACTGTAAACATCCAAACAGCAGTTTTATGAGTGCAAATACTTCCAATAACAAGGACTGTTACCTCTTCTGCCCTGCTGTTTCTAATTTATCTTCTGCTGTCTCATGTCTGTCCTATCTGTCCGTCTGAATCCCAGTGCTGTCTGTGTCTGACCTTCCTGTCTCACTGACTCTTCCTCCACCTGTCTGTCTGTATATAAAACATTAATTAATTGAATGATTAATAGACTGACTGATTCTCCAGACCTCCAGTGAGTCGAGCAACACCACAACCTGAGAAACTCCAGAAGAATAACGTCTCCAAGAAGAAGAAACTGGTGGAGGTATGTCCCTCTACCTGTCTGTCTCTGTCTACCTGTCTGTCCTTCTGTTTATGTCTCTCCTGTCTCCTCGCCCTGTAGGACATGGTTTTGGAACATGTGTTTGGATTTCGGGGTTACGATTGTCGAAACAACCTGCACTACCTCAACGACGGCACCGACATCGTGTTCCACACTGCTGCCACCGCCATCGTCCACAGTCTCAGCAATGGTAACCACAGCAACGAAACCAAGCACAGGCTGTAAAATAGCAAAATAGATTGAAAAAGTACATAACACAAAAACATAACTCATATAGTGGGAGCACAACTCCACACTTATGCTGGGGTCATATGGCAGCATCCAACACCAATATCAAAAAGGATAAGCTTTACACACATGTACAGGGCAAGATAATAAAGTAAATAAGACGTAAAACTTTTTCCACTGGAGCCTCTTAAATCTATATTTACATTTTTCCGATCTTTGTCATGTGTTTATGTGTCCTCTTTCTCTGCAGGAACTCAAAGTTTCTACCTGGAACACACTGATGACATCCTGTCTCTAACGGTTAACCAGCATCCCAAATACAAGAATATCATCGCCACTGGACAGATCGGTACACTGAGTGTGTGTGTGTGTGTGTGTGTGTGTGTGTGTGTGTGTGTGTGTGTGTGTGTGTGTGTGTGTGTGTGTGTGTGTGTGTGTGTGTGTGTGCCTGTGTGTGTGTGTGTGTGTGTGTGTGTGTGTGTGTGTGTGTGTGTGTGTGTGTTTGTGTTTGCATGGCAGTGTGTTTTCTACTAACTTGTGTACTAGCCCAAACGAGTCCTGCTTTTCTCTCCTCCGCTTCATGTTTAACCTGCTTGCTTTTTTCTTCTGAAAACAAAATAAGATTGATGACAGGAACCTGGAGGACGAGATGTATGAACAATTTAAGAATTGCTTAAGAACAAGATATATAGGATTAAAAAAAAAAGTAACATCAACAGGCTTGACTTTTATGTGCACTAAAGGTAATAAAGGTGCTAATGGCCTTCTTTATCTCATTAAATTAACAGCCTTTTTATTGGCAAGTGTTGGCTGTGATTTAACCATTTTTTATGTTTAGGAACAATATATTGATGATGAGATATTTGCTTTAAGGTACATCAAGCCATTATTGATGACTAAATAGATAGCTCTGGGAAGGGTATAGCTTTTTTTTAAATTAAATATGAGATTAAGACCCCCTGCCCATCCAATCCACAGACCGTATTTAAGAGGAGTACATAGCTTCCAGGTCTTAAGAGAGAAGCCAGTGCTACATGGCATTTTTCTTTATAAACTTAAAGGTACCACATACTGTAGTTCTCAGAGCTCCCCAAAACATGTCTGTGAAGATTAGTGCCAAAAATCCACTCTGATCCTGTATTTAAGCAAGCCTATAAACCCCTCTATTCATTCTGCTCAGAACAGGCTGTTTCTGTGTCTTTAGCTTTAAAGTTGCACTATGGAGTTTTGGTAGAGAAATGTGAAAGTTGGAGAAGTGTATAGATTATGTGGTGTAAGTTCACAACTCCATACCGAACTGTCCTCAGGGGAAATTTTGTCCCTGAAACACTGTTTGAAGATAAAATGCTATGCAAGAAGTTATGGTGGGGGACCCGTAACAGTGAAACCGTAACTCTGCTGCTTTTAAGCTCTAAACAGTGTTCCGGGGACCCATTTTTTCCTTTGAATAAAGTTTGTGTATTCAGTTCAGAAAATACAGCATAGAATTGTTTCACTCAAATTGCACTACCAAATCTCCATAGTGCACCTTTAAATACAAGTGAGCTGCGGCATTAATGCACAATGCTAAATTGTTTACACTAAGAAGGCAGACTCAGAGGACAGAACAAACACCTAGCAGTCAAAGTGTCACCCACCTGGGGGAGGGGTTACTGCCCTTTGTGATGTCACAAATGGAAAATCACCAAACGGCCTGTTTGAGCACAAATTTTCTCAAAAGTGACACAAGGAAAAGATAAAAAGGATTTACTTTCTCCTAATTGGGGGATTTGTAGACTAATAGAACACATATTATTGATCTTAAACATAGTAAAGTGTATTATGCATGATATGTGACCTTTAGCTCATCTTCACTTATTGCAAAAACATGCTTCCAAAAATGAGCATTGTTGATACCGCAGCAAGCTGAACGTACCTCAACAAACAACCTAGCTCTTGCTTAAGCTGATAGCTTAGCGTCGACTAACCCCTTAGCCAACACTCTTATCCAAATATTGTCACTTCTGGCAAAAAAACCCTAACAAGATAGAAAAGTTGAGACTGCACAATGTCCTTCAAAACCCAATGGCTGATTCCTCGCTGTCTACATCTATTTTCGAATTCAGTCAGTTTCCCAAACCTTATCATGTTCAGACAGTCCCTTAAGTCTATGGTCAACCACATTACGCCTATTTCTTCCTTCAGTCAGCAAGAATCAGCCATAAGTATCTCTCTATGCTGTCATGGCTGAAGTTAGCCTGTCTGTAACAACTCACTCAAAGTTTTAATCTGTTTTGTTGTGTTTTTTATATGTGTGTTGTGGCTGGCCTCATTTGTCACCATCGCTCTCACAACACCTCAGGTGACGTCAGTGAACTCCCAGGTAAAAAAAAACAGACTGCACCGCCGTACCCATCCCACCGAGACAAACACCCTGAAACCCAGAGATGTAGTGATGAAGACAAAGTATTCCATCTGGACTTTTACACCTCCCTAAAGAGGATTCTCAAATAAATAAAAATAAACTGATTTGATGATTCAACCTCTAGTATGCTCTTAAAACATGCAGTGGAGCTCTTTAGTGTCTTATTCTTCTGGTTTTCAGGGTGTCTGTTTGCTGCACTGATCCCTCCGACTGCTCTGTTTTGTTGGCACTAGACCTTTATTCCTCACCCCTGGGACAAAATAAACGTGATTGATTTCTTCTCTCCTCTTTGTCTCGTGATCTCTCTGTAGGGACCACGCCTTCCATTCACGTGTGGGATGCGATGAGTAAACAGACTCTGTCCATCCTTCGCTGTCCTCACTCTAAAGGCGTCGGTTACGTTAACTTCAGTGCCACAGGGAAGCTGCTGCTGTCTGTCGGAGTGGAACCTGAACACACCATCACTGTGTGGCGCTGGCAGGAAGGTCAGACAGAAATCTGATCAATAACCACTAACAATGAGCAACTGATACAATCATTGATTATTCTTAGTGAAAGGTCACATTCAAACAAAGTGTACAAAGTGTTCATTACTGGATGAACTCACTAATGTCTACCACAAACTCAATCTGTATTTGTAGAGCATCAATACAAAACAAGTGCTATCTCAAACTCAGAGGTAGAGTCGGTCTCTCAATTGGACTGCGAGGGGTTCGGTCACCAGCTCCTGAAGCCACATGTCCAATGTGTACTTGGGCAAGACACTTAACCCAGAGTTGCTCATGCTGCTTCGTAAATGTGTATGAATGGGATTAGTTGATGATGGAGACTTTACATAGCAGCCTCTACCATCGATGTGTGACCTGCGTTGTAAAAGCACTTTGAGTAATCAGAAAACTAGAAAAGCACGACACAATCTCTTTACAAAAGAGCAGGTCAAATTACCTTACTCTTTGTTATATTATGTTACAGAAAGAATTGACATTAATACATCATGAGCACTTAGCAACATGTTAGCAAAGGTACAGTGTCAAGGAAAAATTTACTCTTAACAGGCAGAATCCGCAAGCAGAACCAGACTCATGTTGAACAGCCAGCTGCCAAACTAGAAGATTGTTTGAGTTTATGACTTTAATCCAACAGTGTCTCAACATATTCCTGGGTTAGCATTACAAGCTAGCAGGCGGCTATAGCAAGCCTATTCTCACCTCTGTACTTCAGACTTTCATCTGTTAACCAGAGCTAAGCCCCTCCAAGCCTACACAGTATCCAACCAGCAAAGTGTGTCCAACTCACATTCAGTTAGGCCTCTTCACGTTTCTATACAGCACATTTGCTGTCTTCTGTTTTGTGCTGTAGAGAGCGCTGCTATTATTTGTTGGCAATGATCACTATCTTGACCTTACCTCCATACCTACACCTAAAGTTCTGTAAGATTTTTGCTTTTATCAAAACTAATGATAAAAAAAATGAACTAAGACAGCTTTTACTGAGATTTATGACAACCTTACTCAAAACAAATTTGGCAGAGAGACGAGGCTCCAGGAAAACTCTCTTTCAGACTCGGGAAATTTGTGGTACAGAGATATAACTGCAGAAATGTCTGTGTAAGGCTTACTTAATGCTGAAGGTTCACCTGAAACACATGAAAACACAAGGAAAAAGAGAGTACAGAAAACATGAACGTGAGACAAACATTGAGTGTGTAACAATGAAAGAACTGCATCTTACATCAAAGTAAGAGAGAATAGTGAATTAAATTATCAGCGGTTTTGCCAACACAGGATCAAAGGTGTGCAGTAGAGCTGGACATCCAGACCGGATCTTTGTGGTGGAGTTTCGCCCAGACTCAGACTCCCTGTTTGTGTCTGTTGGAATCAAACATGTGAAATTCTGGACGCTGGCCGGCGGCGCTCTGATGTACAAGAAGGGTGTGGTCGGTACAGTGGAGGACGGCAGGATGCAGACGATGCTGTCTGTCGCCTTCGGTGCTGTGAGTTCACTGATCACTTTCTGTTTTTTCATTGTTTTCTAAAAAATCTGACATCTGGAGTTCCCTGCTCGCAATCGCTTAGGCAATCAAAGAAAATTCTACATCAAATTTTACTTATAGGTTTCAGATGAGTCAATCGCTGCATCCAGCAACCTGTTCTTCCTAAACCTGTGTCCTTGCAGAATAACTTGACGTTCACCGGAGCCATTAACGGGGATGTGTACGTGTGGCGGGATCACTACCTTCTGAGGGTGGTGGCGAAGGCTCACACAGGGCCGGTGTTCACCATGTACACCACGCTGAGAGATGGTCTCATCGTCACCGGTGGCAAGGAGAGGCCGTGAGTAACACACCTATTGTTAATGAAGAAAAAACAACAACATTTGACCTCAAAGAAATCTTTAAAGCCTCAACAAAACTTGAATAACTTTCATTACATTGGTTGAAAAAATGTCATCATTTTAGCTCTCACCTGCATAGACACTGAGCGGTAAATTCACAAAGACAGGATTTCAAAATCTAATGTTTGAGTGAATGAATTTTGACTGCAGTACCAGTTTTAAACGTTATGCGTCAGAGTTTCATATTGCTCCTGTAAATGTGCAGGTTTAGTGAATCTAAATGTAAATTTGAAAACAAAATGATCCTTTTGCTATGAAAGTTATACATTTTCATTTATAACTTCATTTATTTCATTTGCATTTCAAGTTAGTGACCAAACATATCACTTTCAATATATTGTGAAAAGCCTTAGAGATTGAGGATGTGCATGCTGTGTGTGTGTCAGGACTAAAGAAGGTGGTGCGGTGAAGCTCTGGGATCAGGAGATGAAACGCTGTCGAGCGTTCCAGCTGGAGACAGGTCAGCAGGTGGAGTGCGTCCGATCTGTCTGCAGAGGCAAGGTAAGAACTTCAGACTTCTGATTTTCATCCTTCAGTCAGTATCCTCCTTCTCTCTGATCGTCTCATCAGCCCCAACCTCTCTCTTCCTCAGGGTAAGATTCTGGTGGGGACCAAGGACGGGGAGATCATCGAGGTCGGGGAGAAGAACGCAGCTTCCAACCTGCTGCTCGACAGTCACGCTAGAGGAGGAATCTGGGGTCTGGCTGCTCATCCTGCTAAAGAACTCTGCATCACTGCCAGCGACGACTCAACCATCCGACTGTGGGACCTCACCGACAAGGTACACACACATAAAAAGATGTGTTGGTGAGTTCAATGATCCTCTGAAAAATGTAATAATTTGTAAAACTGTCCTGTTCTCTCTCTCTCTCTCACTCTTACTTTAGAAACTGTTAAACAAAGTGTGTGTGGGACATGCAGCCCGGTGTGTGAGCTACAGTGCAGACGGAGAGATGCTGGCGGTGGGGATGAAGAACGGAGAGTTCCTCCTCCTCCTCGCCAACTCGCTGAAGATGTGGGCGAAGAAACGAGACCGCAGTGCCGCCATCCAAGACATCAGGTAGGAGAGAGGAGATGAGATGACAGAAAGAGCAAGAAACAACCATTTAGAAACTACAACAGCAGCTTTGTGATTCAAAATAATTAAATGATATGAAAATAAACACAAATTAAAACAATGATAAATCCCATTGACAAAAGACAAGCATATTGTTTTTATAATATTTGAAAAGAAAGCCATCAATCTGACAGATGTAACGAGGAAATATAAGTAAATGGTAATTTAATAACTTAACATCTTTTTCATACTCCTGACTTTGAAAAACTTTTTAGGGCGGTGAAGAAAGTAAGAGAGAAACAGGAGAGTACATGTCAAAAAGCATAAAGTGACAAGAGAAGAGGAATGGTTAAAAGAGCGATAGAATAACTCAGATGAGGAGGATTTGTGTACCTTTTTTTGTACCTTTACATGTGTATATATTGTTTGTTTGTTTCTGCGCAGGTTCAGTCCAGACCGGCGGCTGCTGGCAGTCGGTTCTGCAGAGAACATAGTGGATGTTTATGATGTCAGCGGAGGGCCGGGTCTCAACCGGTTGGTTTACTGCAGCGACATCCCTGCTTTCATCCTGCAGCTGGACTTCTCTGCTGACAGCTCTTTTATACAGGTATATACTCGTGCATACATACTGCAGACCTTTGTTATGTACAGGTACAAACATACTCAAACTGCTGACTTATGATATATTCATATATACCAACACATAAACACACACGTATATAAATATAGCACACTGGTGTTAAATGCAGGCAAACAGTAGACACATGCATAAATGCTGCTGGCTGGTGTTACAGTTTAATGTATCCACACATAAATCAATAAACCACTTACATCAGTTATGTAGAGGTAAACACACATGTTTTTGCATATACACTAGCTCTCGTATATTGATTAGTATACACATATTGTACACATACCACTGACACCAAGTTTAAGCAAGTGTATTTACATATTTATAAACAGTAAACACACCTTTTTCTACGTGTGTTTGCAGGTGTCCACAGGAACTTATAAGCGGCAGGTGTTTGAGGTTCCTTCAGGGAAGTTAGTGAGTGACCAGACTACCATTGACAGAATCACCTGGGCAACCTGGACAAGGTAACACACAAACACACACCAAGCACACACACTTAAGATTGTTCACACCCCTCTGGGTCTTGATTTATAATGTCTGATCTGATGTCTTTGTAAAAGTAAAACATTTTCAAGTGACTGTCTGTTTTTTTTAACCCGTTCCTTATTACAACGTCTTGTACCTCAGCATTTTGGGAGATGAAGTTTTGGGGATTTGGCCACGAAATGCTGACAAAGCAGAAGTCAACTGTGCGTGTGTGTCCCATGCCGGCATGAACATCGTGACCGGTGACGACTTTGGATTGATCAAACTTTTTGACTTCCCCTGCACAGAGAAGTTTGTGAGTTCGGATCACATTTCATCTCTAAACTGAAGACATAAAACACCAAAACCACTACTCCTTTGTTTTAATTTCATGTTAGTGATAAAGTTTGATCTGTTGAATGAAGAATCAATTGTAAAAAGAGCTTTTATTGTTTTGTTTTATTGAGAAGGAATACAAGTTTTCTTTCTCTTTTTTCCAGGCCAAACACAAGCGCTACCTCGGCCACTCAGCTCACGTGACAAACATCCGCTTCTCTCTCGAAGACAAATATGTGATCAGCACAGGAGGAGACGACTGCAGGTGAACTGAACACTGATCAATAACATGCCATTGGCTTCGACACAGGAGCAACTTTATGGCAGTTTAAAAAACTAGAGTTTTATTTAGAGAGAGATTCCTTCATCCACCTTATTTTCTTCACATAATGTGTGATTATAAAATGTAAATTATTGCATCAATGTACTCTACATGCATGGTTTCCCCTTATTAGGCCAGAAATGACACTGGCACCAAAATGGACACTTAAAGTGATAAAAGCCACGAGTATTATAGTGTCATTTCTAGTGTGACAAAAAATAATAATTTAAAGGCAATATAGTGTGAAAAATCCACTTTGACCGTGTTATTGAACATATATTTGGGTAACCTGAGTGTCTACTGACACACAACATGTGAAATAAATCCATCCAGTGCTTTGTTTGTGGTTTGCATAAGTCTTACAACACAGAGACTCCATCCCCAGCCTAGAACAAAATGTATTCTCGCCACAGAGGACTGATGTCTACCTGGAAAAACTCAGGGGGGGGGGGCCTCATTGCATTTAAAGAGACACACACACCAAAATGGAGCGTTTTGAGAGATCTGCTTTAAACAGGGTCACAAACCTCCTCTGGTGCTTGATTCATGTTATATTTGAACCAAAGCACAGCACAGATGTTTCATTTAGACCACAGGGGACTGTTTGAAAATGTGGAAAAGGTGTATAATATTTCCTTTTTTAAATATTTTCCCAGACAGATCTTTCTCCATTCTTCCATGTTTAACATCTGTTTTTTGTGTTGCAGTGTGTTTGTGTGGAAATGCATGTAAAACACCGCCCGGTGACGCTTTTCATCCAAAGCGCCTTAACAGCACCACAAGTGGATCCAGGGGGGGGGAATCGAACCAATGACCTGAAAGACTTCACACCACTTTGTAGGAGTTCAGCTGGAACCGACTTCACTGATAAATCCAGATGTTTACAGTCTGTCTTTTTGCAGAAGAGGCAGAAAGCTTAAAGACCAACACATGAGACACTTTGTGACTGATCACAACATAAAAAACAGACTGGGAGGGGAGGGGGGGGTGTTCAGCTGAGATGAAGCAGAGAAGCAGACTTTTTTTGTTTTTGGCTCATTTTGATAAACAAATGGTAAACTCTAAGACACCTCAAGAGGAAACCACACTGATGGGACCATTTAAAGGTATAATGTGATTATAACCGCTCAGTCTGCTGTCAGAGTCACACAGATCATGTCTCGGGGATGACAGGGAGATGACACTGCACTGGTTGATAAAAAAAACTAAACGTTGCTTCATTGAAAATATCATATGCAGTTTCATTTTAACCCTGATGTCCTGAAGTTTGTCTGTTACCGAGAACAGAAACTTGACTTTTGATTTAAAACCATTCCTCATTTCAAAGAGCCTTTACTGTATCTGCCGTTGGATTTCATCACACTTAAGTGCCTTTCTGGATCTTTCTACCTGTGTTCATTTATTTATTTATCGGGAGGGGTACTTCATACAAAGTATTTCTTTGTGTTAATGCATCTTTGAACTTATTTTGTACTCTGTCTGGTGCTACACTGAGAATGTTCAAACTTTCATTCATCTCAAAACACAAACATCTTCTCCGCTGCTGCTTTTTGTTCAAAGACGTTAATCATCCAAAGCATCATGATCGTTACACGACACAGGACATGTGAAGAAAAGCGAAACTTACTAGAATTATTTATGGAAATATCTAAATGTTATTTATGCCTAATCTACGGTGTGGATGAGTTTTCTGTGTCTGAACTGTTGAATATTAACTGTTGTGAAAAGTGTCAAAAGAGTCTGTTCGTGTGATGATTAAAAAAAAGAAAAAGAAGTTCAGAGGTCACGCACCTTGTTAGTTCACTCAGTCTCCATCTCATCCTTCACGTCCTTGAAGTCATCACAGAGGCTGAGGTTGGTTTTCTCTCGCTTGAAAATAAGGTTTAATTCAAAAACAGATCATTAATAATTCACAGAAGAGGAGAACGGGGAAAGAGTTGAAGCCATGGGTGAAAGTGGCAACAGTGGGAGAGGAGAAAAACAGAGTCAGCTGAAAGAAGTCGAATGGTAAAATTACATTTTTGCATCAGGAAAATTAATATGAGAAAAAATATTTGACAAAATATTGGAGCTTTGTGAATTCTAATAAGGGTACAGCTTGTTTTTCAGCCCAATGATAGAATTTCTTTAACAGAAAAATAAAATGTCTTTGTTATGGACAGGAAAGATCCCTCTGGACCACCATAGTTTAAAAAGAAAGTCAATGTGATAAGGTCTGTGTCATAATCAGTGTCAAAGACTGAGTTCTTGTAATTTAGACAGAAAAAACACACTTTCAATAACACACATCGTATTGATACCAAAAGATGTAGAAAACATGGTGTTGACTGTGCTAGCTTAAAGTGTGATGTGCAGGGTGTTCGTGCAGAGTGCATGTACGGTGTGTTTCTCAAACATGGCTATTTCTCTATAAAATAAAAACACAACAGAATCTAATACAACAGAAGGATTTATAACGTAACAGAAGAAGCCAAGGAGCATCTACAAATAAAGAAATGCAATTTGCAATTGCTGAAGATGAAAAATGCTGCATTGAAAGTTGAAGTTTTGGTTTGTTTGTTTTTTTCTTAAAGCAGGTTGTCAGTTTGTGAACTTCTTTCCTTTCTAATCGTCTGTATCATACTGTACATGGAAATATATATGATGCTCAGATGCATGACTTTATTTTTAAACCAAAATATCTTTGTTGATGAGATTTTATGGTGCAAGTTAATTCACCAGTTGATTTTTATACCAAGGTGATTGTGATCAAAGTTTGTATGTATGTGTGCGCACGTGTGTGTGTGTATGTGTGTGTGTAGCAAAGTGTATTATCAGATTAAATGAGACTTGTGGAAATAAGATGGCTTTTTTTCTGTCTTCTGTTGTTTTGTTTTTATCACCATTCTTGACAATCTTAACTAAAACATTTCTTGCTCACTATGAGGGGTTGATGATGTGGAAACATTACATGCAAATAGTTGTATGTAAATATTTAACATGTGCACACAGAAGTTAAATTGTCACACATGACTATCTAAACACACGCTGAAATGTTATAATATTGCGCTCAGGTATTTTAGTGTGAGCATGAGAGTAAAATCATCACTGACTAAAAACAATGAGAACAAAAGGAAGGAGTAAATTGTTTAGTTTTTTTTCTCTTAGTAAAGCTGTCTCCTGCTTGTGACAGTTAACAAGCTGAGTGACGTGTAACTATTGACCGCTTATAAAGATAGACAAAGCTGAAACAAATGAGCCGACTCTCAAATAGGGTTCAAGATATTTCTGACCAAGTATTGAACATATCTGACATCTCACTGTAGTTCAATCTAAGAGGGGTTGGCTCTGCGTGATCTCTGATAGGTTTGGAGACGTCACTACTGACAGACAAGAGACAGGGTACGGTGCATGCTGAAGGGGTTGAAGTGCATCTTTAGAACTATAAATAAAATCTGTTTGGAGTCCTGAAGAGATCTATAAAGTCACCCAATGGGATCCTTTGAATAGGGCTGGTGTTGATATGTCTAAACCCATCTGGAAGCAGGGAGGGGAAGGTGAAGACAAATGGCAGTGTATTCACAGATCCACATCTGCATTGGGGTGTGTAAAAAAAGGGAAGGACTGGAGGACCACCCCTTCTCCTCTTTGATTTGAAAATCTATTTTGGCACTAGGAACAGTTGCTTGTTTCCAAGAGCTAGCATGGAGGGGGGTGGCTCTGGGTCGCTAGAGCAGTTATATATCCGTGAGGTGTAAAGGCCTAGACGAAACAGAGAGGGGGATGGGAGGTACCCCCTTCATAACTCCAGTGATGTAGTGTCTGTCACTGCAGACGCTTTTATCCAAATCTAGCTGCACAGTTGAGTTGTGGGGACTAATATGGAGCCATTTGGTGTCAATAACAGCAGCTCACATGTGAGCCTGGGACTGTTGAAGGTGACAATGCTGTTTGGGTTGTGGTGTCCCCTGAAGGCCATGTGGCAGGTTATGGAAGTAATCACTAAGCCCAATGCATTGAGATGAGGTCGCAATATGTGATTTGGGAGGATAGAGCGCAAGTTTCTTGTTCTTACTTCAGATACACATACTGTCAAAGAAATACTGTATTTTTCTATTCAATTGTTTCAATATTTCCATTTTGGTATTTTATGTAAACCAGTGATTCTTCAAATATTTGGTATGTTGGTTGTGCACTTAAGTTAACTTACAATGGTCGCATTTTATTCCATCAGTAAAGTCTGTTAGTCCAGTAAAGTACACTAAACACTTTCTTTAAACATGAGTAGAGAAAAGTTTTAATACACTCACTTACAAGTTTGTTGGCTAGTCCATTTTGATGTTCCGCATTTGACGAATATTTAATATACTTTGGACTCATATTTTGAGGGATTGTCTCAGACAGCTGTGGATAGCTCCACTGAATGAGGAACATCTCCAGCAGGGAACAACTCCACATCTGCACTGTAAGGATCAGAGTTACAGAACAGTTGATATGTGATAAAGAAACATGATACAAAGTTTGACTTAAGTGTATTTGTTATTTCCAGCTCCTTTTGATTCACTCCGATTTTCATTTCTGGCAACACAGACTTCAACATGCAGCAGACTAAATTTAAATAACACTAACTTGAGATAGATAAGTTGAAGGACAGATGAGGAGGCGGGTCTTTCTTCTTCTAGAAGCTTTATTGATAATTGTTCACATCTCACAATGCATTCCACAAACACGGCTCCCAGCTGGAAGCTATTTATCGTCACTATTGAAGTATGAAGTTTATCATTCACAATTATACTTGCATAACAAACAAATGCTCAAAGGTTTCCCAAAGTCACATCAAGTTGCAACTTTATTAAGATATTGGCTTCACAGACAGTATGGTTATTTATTTTTTCGTTAATTCCCATTTCATTTTTTTTTCTTTTTTTCATATTTTATCTGATGTGGATGAATGTAAACGTGTTCTTCCAGAGTTGTTCATTACTAGACAGCTGCGATGACATGGAAATAACAACTTGTTATGTGATTAATGACTTTTATTTGTCTGGCAAAGGTTTTCTAGATGTTTCTAGCTAGAGTTACTCAGAAGCAATGAAGTTTTTAAATGGTAGTACAAGCCCCCACCCACCCCATCCCACCCCCACGGCCTCATCAGGAGTCAAAGACGTCGTTCACCAAATTCGTCATTCGTCACAGAGGCAAAAAACCACGCAGAAGGTTACCGAAGAAACGAGCTAAGAGCTTGAGGACACGACAATAAAATCACAAAATACTTGTAACTCAGTCATCATACCAAAATAAGAAAACAATACAAACGAGGTGCTGCTCGCTCTCCTCCTTCTCAAAAACAGCAGACGGAGCAAACGTTTCTCTCCGCTCGACTCAACTGAGGGCAGGGAAAAGAGAAAAAAATCAAAAATTACCTGAAGGGAAAAACACACCTCCCACAATGCACTGGGGTTGGGGAAAGGGAAGGGTTAAAGCTCAGGATTAAAAATGTGCTTCTGTGAGTTTCAGAAACTTACAGGAGCCAACATTTCATAACCTGATTGAAAAAAAATACTAAGCACGAAGCTGACCTCGACGTCTTGAAGCTCTGCTGAACTCTTCAACTTTTCAGGAAAACACAAAAACAAAAAAGGAATTCTGAACTGGAAAAAAAAAAAAGTGTTTTATTATGTTGACAAATAAAAGTTAGAAGGGCTGCGTCCACGCCAGACCCCTCCTCTTCTCCTCCTGCCTTCCTTCATATCAACCCTCCCCCTCCCTCACCCTCCAACCATCTTTTCATCTGGACTTCCTGAATCCAAACTCCGACTTGCTGTTCCTTCACTCTGCTTTGCGTTTCATCCCGGGCACCTTTGCCTGGACCCTGCAGAACAAGAAGTTGGAAATAAAAATGAATTCAGAGACGGACAAAGAAACAACGCTGTGCTAAAACCATAATGAGAAGCTTTAAGCTCTGAGGAATTACAGCAACGTGAATGTTCTCATGAGATAGGATAGGTTTATAGATACATAAATGAGGATTTTTTTTTATTGTTCTTTTTTTTTTTTTACATTTTGCATATTTTAAAAAAGTTGAAATTTTTCATCCAACCTTTTAAAAGACGTTTAGAATTTAGAGGAGTAATTAAGGAACTGAATGTATTCAAACAAATTATTACAGTGAGGAACACACTTCTGATAACATTCAAATGATTGGCAATGCAGGAAGATAAAAAATAAATACATTTTATAACTTAATCTGAGTAACTTTTAACTAAAGATACATGTTTTATATGAAACACAATGGTTTTATTCTACTCTGGAGATGTCATTTTGTGAACAGATAGAGAAATAAGAGTTTTGTGATGACACAGTCGACTTACTTTCCAACGACGTCTTTCACCTGGTTGTTGACCAGAGCCAGGTAATGATCGATCTGAGTCTGAAAACACAACAAAGACACAAAGACGCGTCAGGATGGACAGTCGGTCTGCAGGGTGGAGCTCTCTACAGGTAGAACATTATTTGATTTGTTGTTTGTGTTAAGTTTAGAGGAAACATGACAACAATGGGGTGCAGATGACCTATCAAATAAAGTTTACATATTTGGAATTCCCATAATAAAGAGCAACTTCAATCTTAATAATAACTTAAGATGTGTGAAGTGTTCTTTAAATACCCTTTAATGGTTTTTCCTAACTTTATTAGACATTTTTTCACCAAGACAATTTTAAAAGAAAAGTTTGATTCTCACCTGGTGTTTCTCATAGATGATCGGGCAGCTGAACACTCCAACCAGACCTGGAGGAGGAGGAAGAAGAAAATGTGGAGTTTTTATACATTGCCAGTTCAAGGTCGAACAATTCTGCCCATTACATCTGGTCTACATGTGTAATGCATGGAGGTAGAGCCTGAAAGACAGGACGGCACTGTGTGTGCGCATGTATGATTGTGTGTGTGTTACTGTGCGTGATAAAATGACTTTTTACTCAACAATGTGTAGAAGAATCAGAGAATTAACCTCAACTATGTGTTAGTTTGTCAATTCTAGATAACACCAACAGATGGAGCCAAAGTAAGAAAACAAACATCATCTGTATGGAACTGTTTTACACTTCTAAGGAGAGTGATGCACTTTTGGATAATTGAAAAAAAAAAACAATTGTGAGCTCCATGTTTCCTTACCCAGAATAAGAATGGTGAGCCCGTTGAACAGGGCGCCAACGTAGGTCAGGATCCACATCAACACGGCAAACTGCAAACAGAAAAGGAAATGCATATTTAGTCAACTTAAAGCGTTAAAACATCATTGAAAAGGTTGCCTTGGTGGCATCACAACTTGGTGAATCAAAGATCTTCTTCTGATCTACTTAAACCCTGCAGCAGTCTTGATTTTGACAGTGATAATGAAACCTGACAGACTGTGCTTAAAGTGCTTGCATTAATAATAAACATGTTAACAGTCACAGCCAACATGTCTACTGGTATAAAAAGACCAAACACGGTTTAACACAGTTACATTTATGGCTGGAGGCTTGCGAATTAATACGCGAGACATTTCAATAAGCTGCTGGTGTGGTTTTAAATATTCACTGCAGGCAATAAACAGGAAAAGAATCATGGGCAGAAGAATAACATTCTCATTACTCATCGGGGTACAAAAGCTCGTAATCTGCTGAGAGATTTGAAAACATTCCTGAGGCTCAAACTTGCTCCTGATCCGATTAGAAAAATCTGACTTTTTTACCCTCTTAGGGATTTTCTCTCTGCCACGCTGATAGAGTCAGTCTAGATCTGTATTTGGGCTGCAGGCAGAAGGCTGCGAGGGTTAGAAGTGACGACAGGACCTTCACTGCGCTTCATAGCGCTCAGTG